TCTCTTTCAAGCCACATCTTACACGTAGTATTGTATTCTTCACTTGTATAAGTTGGTAACTAATTATTACATAGATATAAAAGAAATCCTCATTTTTCGCAATAAAATTCATTCAAGATACGCGGGGAAAGTACTTTAAATATTGTAGACAAGATAGTTTGCTCCTGGCGACATTATATTATTTTTAAAGGTAAGTAATATTTATTGTCTTCTTCTTTCTTCTGGGAATCGAACCGATCAAACTTAAAAAAAAACGTGTATTTTTGTGGTGCCGATCGAAACGGTCAATTAAAAAGATTAATTCCTTATAAGCAATATAATATCTCAATTTTATTTAAAGCATAGTCTCCCAGTGGTCCCTACCCAGTGGGCCTTGAATTTGTCCTGAGGGGGCCTCGAAAGCAATTGGCGTTATTGCCGTCCACGTGGTGCTAGCGTATTTAAAAAACCTATATAAACTACACTACATTTTCTTTCCTTGTGATTTTTTGTGTTAAGTTAATATAAAAAATACGTGTCTTCAATTATTTTTTGTCGTGGTTGGCGTTGAAATCTTTTTATCTTGCCTAAGTGGGCGGTAAGCTAAAAAAGTTTGGAAATCTATGATTTAAAGGAACACGTCCAATTGCACAATTTATTAAAGAAAGATGCAAACTTGAAACTACCAATGCATTCATAATTTCATATTTCAAATTCGCTTCTTGTCTATCTCAGAGATAAATGCATTGAAATATTCGATTATTACCATTTGTATTTTGCACTGAGAATTCTATTTTTTGTTCTTATTTAAAACATCACATTAACGGAGGTACCAGGTTTACGAATTTAGTCTTTAATGCATCATTACTTACTTTAAAAAGTCTGCCTGAATCAAAAGATCGTATCTACAATATTTAAAGTACTTTCCCTCCGTGTCCCATAGACGTGAGATGCCCTATATAATACGGTTAGTTGGCAATGTCCTCTGTTGTAGTACAAACCTTGTGTCGCGCTATTAGGTCGAGTATGTGTTCCTTGTCATGTTCGTCGTTGCTGAGTAGTACAATCCAGATTGCGTTGATTGCTGCTTCTTTGGGCGCGTTTTCAACTAGATATTGCACCTCCTGCATTAACAAAAGATATTACAAACTTAGGTTACTCAATTTGAAGCAGAATTTTTATTATCTGTGAAATAGGAATGAAACTATTTTTCCGGATTTAAATCGTGTATATTTGTTTTTTCAAACAAACCAACATTTCGGGGCCCTTTACAGGTCCCATGGTCAGTCAACCGTTAAATCCGAAAAAATAGTTTCATTTCCTATGTGTAACAATCGCTAAAACCTAAGAACTCGATATCTGTAAAATTAGATGATGGAAAGTCGAGACTGTTATTATAATAATGTATTTTTTTCCTATTGTTATTTGTTAATTTTCATTTAATTTTAGTTTCACGGTGCATTAGTTCTTAAATTTTCCAAACCCACATATTTTACTCATAGCATTAGGTAGTCAGCACAAAGTGGAAGTTGCCAAGCCATATGTGCGGTAGACAAGACCACAGACGTAGTAGGGACTTCCCCGTCGGTGCCAGGGGATGAGTCAGTCAGTCCATCCAGTATAAGGGATAGTTCGTTGATCGAGAAAGGACCTTCCATGACTGAGAAGGGAGATAGGATGAGGGAGAAGGAATAGTGTCAAAATCAGGGACTGAGGAGAAAGCGAGTTTGTCCGAAAAGGCCTCTAGCCGTGATATAGGATCATTGGCTAGAATATCGACTGCATCACATAAATATAAATATTAGACAACAACACATACGTTGCTCTGATTCCAAAGCAAATAGCTAAACCACTGTGTTCTGGAAATCGGAAACAACGACGGTACTAAAACACCCAGACCCGAGACAATACAGAAAAGTTCGTTTTCTACACTTGCCCGGCCTGGGATCGAACCCGGGACCTCAGAGATAGCGACACCATGAAAACAGGTGTACAAGCCACTCGCCCGCGGAGGCGGTCATCACATGAACCTCTAAATCGCAGTTAAGGGATGGGGGGGGGGGGGTCTTTGGGGATAGACGTTCCCAAAAACCTATCCAGTTATTTCTTTTCTTTTCTAGAAGAGTGCTTGAGTGGAAACCCAGAGAAGGGTACTGAAGCGTAGGCAGGAAGCGTATTCACTGGACTGAAGGCATTGTTAAGGTGGCGGGGAAAAATTGGAAAAACTCTGTCCTTCAATAAAACTTCTTCACTATTTTACATTTGTTTTATTGATCTTTATTAGTGAATTGTATACACCATTTCGGAATTTAAGCTTAAGAATAATTACTTCCTGTTCTTATGCTTACAATTTCCCTTAAATTCTCATAATTTTATAATCTTTCTTAAAAACTTGATTATAAATACTCAAAACTCCTTAACATAAGTCGTAGTTTGAATAACGAAATTATTCTCGTATCGTACTTATTCTCTTTTCGCTAATAATCACATCGGACTTTGTTCTTCGGATAAGTCGAAGTAATACACCACCAAGTCAAAGAACAATGTCAAGTATGCAGCGTATTACTTATTTGACAATATTTGTTTCGGACGGAGAACGGCAATACAGGGCCTACAGAATACAGCCCCGCACTAGGGAAACCCTGTATCGCGCGTGCCATGAACACACACATAGACAACCACAATCCACACCCAAACTCACGAAAAAAATAAATATTTATCACGGCAAGGGAATCGAACCCGGGACCTCTTGTGTGGCAGTCCAGCACGGTAACCGTTCGACCACACAGGCAATTAAAGAATAGAAAGAAAGAAATAGACATAATGTTAGTACAATGTTTAATCAATAAATGGATATAGCACTTACCTCTTGGTTGAGCAGCGGTCGCCTCAGCAGTAATTTGATGAGGACCAAGTTCTCCTTGTGATCTGCGGAGGGAGTCAACAGCGATTGCAGGTACTCGCAATGGAGACTCCTTGTTTCTCTGTACATCAAAACATTATAATTATAAAAGTTTACAAAGACACGTGAATTATGACACAACAATATTTTCCTGGACAAAGGTCAATGTCCCGGACACGTAATTCGAGCCACCTCGCGTTTTTGCCTTAAAGGGCTAGAACACAAAAATAGTGTCATCATCGAAGAAAAAGGTTTCCCCCGGTTTTGCAAGTCCAAATTTCCAACAAGGACTTATAGAAAAGACTAAAATTGCGTAGGATAGTTCTTGATCAATCGAACATTTTAAAATTTTATGGAATTGATATTCAATTATTTCTTGTGAAATCACTCCACTAGTTTGTTATAATTATTAATACAAAGTCGCTTAGTTGGTATAGCGTCCGGCACGGTAAGCTAGAAGACGTCGGTTCGAATCCGGCTGATCGTTTTTTTCTGAGTGTTCGATCTTTGTATTAATAATTATAACAATCGAACATTGTTTAAGTTTACAGCATTTAATACTTATGCGAGGTGCCTCGAATTATGTGTCCGGGAGTGTATTTCAATAATTTTGAGAAGTAATTCAAAGACAAGCTAGAGCTAATATCTGTAGGTCAGAAGTAATTAGCCTACATTTTGGAATTTAACTGTTTTTACAAACATTGCTTTAGAACGCTAAAAATCAAGCAATAGTTAAAAGACATTAAGTCCTGTTGTCGTTTGTTTTTTATTTAATTTTTTAGATCTTATGATTGATTTTTAAATGTCTAATTAAGAGCCTTATGACCCCCTGCACTAAACTTAAGTACGTCTTATACCAATGCTTGCAGTGTAAAAGACTTATTAATACATTGTGTTAAGAGTGTTCTATCAATTTAAGTATTGGTTTAAGACATACTTAAGTTTAGTGTAAGTGGATATCATTCTCATTAAAACGCTCTGTAGTAAAAGGGTTCTTTACCTACGGAACTTATCTATAATTAAGGACGACAGATACGCCTCAGTTTTTTCTAATACTGTTTTCCTGACATATTGGGTGTGTTTGAGATTTATTTATTTATAATTTGGAAGATTTACAGTAAATTTTGTGTAAAAATGTCATCAAGTGACAAGTTCGTCCGGGGAAGTACTTCCACCTCACCTATATCTGCCGCTAAGCAGTTACGTGAAAATTACTGCGTTCCGGTTCTAAAGGGTAAGGGTGGTGTATAAATTACAGGTACATGGGACTTGTCAACTTCTGTCTCAGGGTGACGGCCGCACTGGTAGTGACCCTCATATTTAAAGCTCCATGGTACCATAAAAAAAAGGTATACCCGTCTCTGGTAGGTGGCCAGCAGACCAGTACGTCGACGAGCGCCTTCTTGCGCTGCCACGAGTCCGCATCCTGGCTGAACGCGGCGAACATCTCGCGTCGGCCCTCCTCACTCAGCAGCTTCTCATCTGAGAACATTATTTCATTGACTAGTTAACGCGGACAAGTTACATTTTGAGAGGACTTTGATCTGAAATTCGAGTAACGGAAATAATAATGTGGACAATCCCTTCAATAAATCCCGGAACTTCTTGGAACCCATTATATTTGCATATGCGTCTTCCATGAGGGGTGCGATGTATTAATACAAACCCGTAAGAGAAGCAGCACAACCAGAGTCTGGCCACTCAGCCCTTAATAAATCAGCAGTGAACTGAGCAATCTTCATTAGGTCGCTGCTATCATGCATTTGAGTCTTTTGGCTAAGAGATAGAAGACTAATTTGCTTGTGCGGCGGCAGCCCACATTCGGTGGCCTTTTGCATGATGCGCTCGAGCAGATCATCGGAGAACTTGACGCCGTCGTTGTGGTATTGAGTGAGACGGGTTACCAGTTTTTGGATGTCACTGTAAAGTAGACAAACAATGTTTTGACTTATTTTAAATATATCTTATTTTTGATAGGTTCCAAAACTCTTTGACTTCATATTTTTCTGTTATGTGAAAACTTAATCAGTTCTTGGAACATTCATTCAAACACACCGATAACCTATACAGTGCATTTTTGAATGGCACACAGTATGGGGAAATCAGAGATATAGGGAAACTGTCTTAAGAACTGTAATTTAGATTTTTTTTGTAAACGGAGTAAACTGATATTTGCATGGTTACCAGTTTTCAAAAAAATTTAAATAGTCACGTAGTTGTTGTCGACAGTTTTATCGATAAATTGTGAAAGGTAAAATTTTGCCCTAAAATGTCAATGTTAACAATTTCTAATGATTACTGATTGCCTTATATCCGTCTTTATTCTTATTTTGACAGTTGGCCTACTAGTATATACATTTTTATAAAAACTGACTGATTTGATTATCTATATTGAATAAAAACTTAAAATATGTCTCCTCTTTGTAGACAGGCTATTTTTAATAGACAAAGTTTTGGATTATATATGAATTTACAAAAATTCACAATTCGAATGAACCGTGCCCAGTAGTTGAACGAATGAGGGACCGATGATGATTCAAATGAAACAAGTTCAGCTATTTATTGCATAAGCGTGATCAACATTCAATCGATAGTCGATAGAATATTTATCGACTGCAATCACTAACTGCTTGCATTTTACTCCATCTTCAAAAAAGACAAGACTTTAGAACCGATATTGTCCTAACTGTAACACGTGAAAGGCGCACGTACATACAGCAAGATGGATCATACTGAACGGTTATTGAAGCATTAAGTTGTTACGTTAAGGTAATAAATTATATGAAAGAAGATTTAATTTAACGTGATCCCTTTCTGCTGTCCTCATATTTTTCGTCCGATTCAATGAAATGAGTCTTACAAAAAAAGATCTATATAGCGGCGATCAGTATTTAAAAAAATTGACAACACTATTCAATACTACTGACTACGTCAAATTTGTTTTTACAAACAAGACCTAACGATTTCTAAGACAGAAGAAGCTTCCCTGTATTTCCCATGATTTTAAAAAACTTACTCGGCAGAATACACGTTTTCAGCAATGCAGCGGAAGACGTGTTCCGGACGGGCGTCCACATTGAGGCACTGCAGCACAGTGGTCAAGGCGGACGCCCGCATGTCTCCTTGCATCACAAGTTGACTCGCGCACAGGACAATCGTGTCGGGATCGCCGTGGCTCATTTCAATCTCACTGGAAAAGAGGAGACCGTTAACGTGACTGACGACGGCTTCAGCTACCTGGTTTTTGAAAGAAAGAAATATTTATTCCATAAAGTAACAACACAGCACACGTACATTTAACAATTACGAAACGTGATTATAACATGGAAAAAATCGAAATAAAAAAGGGGAAAAAGAAAACAACAATTAGATAATACACAAACAGGAAGCGAATAACTGTAACAACAAATAATCAAACGATACGCCATAATCCGTCATCCACTCAGATTGGTGTCGTCTCACTGCATGTGCGACAAAGCTCATTTTCAAACTTTACTGAACCAGTCTATGGTGTTAGTACTTGAAAATCAAAAAACAAAACAAAAAATCTTGCATCTTAGAACGGTCACAATTTTATATATGTATTTTTTTATTATTATATTACAATTAGCTACAAGTTCTTACTCACTGATAGACATAGAACGCATATTTCCCAATATTATGGAAAAAAAGATATTTATATCGTTGTATGCGGATAGGTTCCAAAGCAAAGAATCAAATATGAGATGACCTGAGTGTGGAAAATATGAAAGAGTGATCAACGGCCTGCAAAAACTATAATATATGGAGGGGATTGCTATAGGAGTGTTTGATAATAATTTATGATCAACATTACGACTGTGAACTGGCAACCGGTTCAATCTCAATTTTTTACAACTTTATATTGACTTTACAGGTTAAGAAAAAAATTGTTTGCGTCATTTATATACCATATGGTTTATTAAATAAAAATACTTAGTGTATATGTAATAAAAATATTTAAAAACGATGTATGATCATTTAATAAATCAGATGCTATATAAATGACGCAAACAATTTTTTTCTTCACCTGTAAAGTCAATGTAAAGTTATCAAAATTGAGATAGTACCGGTGAGATAGTGCCAGTTCACAGTCGATTAGTTTTTCGCCATTTTTGAATATGGCCACCTTACAAGCGCTTTTACAGCAGAAAAAAGTTTGCTCTGATCCATTTGAAAATTGGCATATGGATCTCCAGGAGTGCTTGATAATAATTTGTGGTCAACATTAGTTTTCCGCCATTTTCAAACATGGCTGCCACATAGGCGTTCGTTGGTGGCAGAAAAAAATTGCTCTAAGTCGACTGAAAATCGGTATGTCGGGGTCTCTATGGGTGTTTTATAATAAATTGCGATCATAATTTCTGTTTTGCCATTTTTCAATATGGCTGCCATACAAATTTTTTTGGCGGTAAATAAAAATTTGCTCTAATTCGACAGAAAATGGCATGGCTTCGACACCGTACGAGTAGAAGATTTCAAAATTGTTCAAAATGTAAGGCACACTTACCGATGTAGTGGATTGAGATACTTAGAGCGTTGTTGTATCTCGATCGTCTCTCGTGTTAAATTCCAAGAAAACTTGGAAGCTATGCCAAAGAGAAGTATTTAGGGAAAAAAAATGCCAATCACACCAAATTTCTGGACTCAAATTAAGGAATTTCCTGTACTATGAATACCAGAATAACGATCACTCTGGGGGTAATATCCCAGAATACCCAACCAGAACCAACTTAGAAATGTCCGTTTCCTAAATTGGCCCAAATCGGGAATCGAACCGGGAACCTCCTCACCAAGCGCCCATAGTACTAAATGCTGTGCCACCGAAAAGCAAAAGCACACCCTGCAGTCTAGACCCGATCACGCGCCGCAGGCCGAGCCCGACCCCGCCGTATGTGGGGTACAGTGCTCGTATTTATATATTATTACAATATAGGAGTGTATCGAGTGGAGGTTCATGGTTTCTGCCGACTCTTACTTTACGTTACTTTTCGATTTTAAACTGAAATCATTTTAATACTTACGGCCATATCTCATCGTGAGGAACACCGCTGGTGTCAATGATGCCCTGTATGGTGGACGAGTAGTAGTTCTCCAAGAAGCGCGCCCAGCGCGTTAGCTCCTGGCCTACTTGCGCCCAGGACGGATCACTGCAAGCACTAAAGCAAATTAATGTCTAGATTTTAACAGGTGCATAAACTAAAGCTACAATGCACCCGTTAAGAACTAAGCCGACAGCATCGAGTATATAAGCAGAAATAGAGAAGCAATGTCATTTAATTGGTTTGAAAACTATTCTGCCATATCATTACGGTGACAATTATTGCGCTCCGATTGGCCAGCCCGAATTCGAAACAATTGTCGGGTGTGACCAGTTTAACTTGAGCTTTGCTATAATGGACGAAAATTGCAAAATCAGAAATTTCATATCTAATAACCAATGAAATGTGATTCCGTTTGTTTTGTAATTAGATGTTTTACTGTTTTTCTATTATTTATTATTGTATTTCTATATTTTGATTTAGATATTTTGCTGCATATGATTGGTTTTTATTTTGCGTTTTGATATATTTCTTGATTTTTGTTAAGCACATAACTTAACTGCCTTCGTGGCCGAATGGTTACCATGCTGGACTGCCATGCAAGAGGTCCCGGGTTGGATTCCCGTGCCAAGAGAAATATTTGTATGTCCTACATTTATTTCTCTCGTGAGTTTGGGTGTAATTTGTGGTTGTCTATGTGTGTGTCTATAGCACCTGCGCCACAGTGTTTCCTTAGTGCGGAGCTATGAAAGTGTGCGCGTTGTAGTTCTAACATTTAAATTTACTTTATTTCTAAACTGAATTCTATTCTGCTGACTCTCTCCTAGTTACTTCTTAGTAACTAGCAGTGGCGAAGCATTCATACAACTCTATTCCCACCGGCTTGCCTAAAAAATTCCACGTGTTATCAAAAGACTGTACTAAACAGCGGGCATACCCCATTAAGAAACTTATATTAAAAAAATATTCATTAATAAACGCGTAGTCACCTGTCCTTGATAATACGGAGTATGATGGATGTCAGCCAATCACAACATTCGGTCCACCACACAAACCGGTCGGATACCGGCTTCTATTGAATTCATGAAAACTACGAGCCCATATCAAAATACAGGCATACATTCGCAAAAGTCCGCTGTGAAACCACAGTAGAATAAGACTTAATAATGGCGGCCGAAAATTCGAAAATCATCGGGTTATGTCGAATAACGTTCACATAAATTTCAACCTTATTTCAACACGTGGGCGGTTTCTTTTTAAAGACTGATTTGTTTCAATTCAATGTTATTTTGTAAATGTTAAAAGATGAATAATATTACGAAAATGCAACGTATGAATGTTTTATTTTAATCGGGCTACGTAAAGAATGTAGACGTTTATGTTATATATAATTAGTAGTTGCAATAAAATATTAAAACGGCAACACTTGTTTTTACCGTCGCAATACGATAGTTTGTTTTTAAAGTAATTTACTACATAATGGTATTCAATTTAAGTGTAGAATAACTTAAAACTTTTTTTATATTTTTTATAAATATTTGTGTGGCCTACATTTATTTCTCTTCGTGAGTTTGGGTGTAACTCGTTATTATATATGTGTGTATCCATGGCACCCGGGATACAGGGTTTTCCTGGTGCGGGGGCTATGAGTGTGTGCGTTATTACTTCATTTCAAGAACTTTTGAGTTACACGTTTGTATTAACACAGAATACTTTATCTCCAAGTAAAGTGTATTGTACAACAAAAGACTTACTTTTTATTGAATTTGAAGTCATTCTCTTGTTCCTGCTGACAATAGTCGACGGCTTGCATTATCATCAAATTGCGCGTTCCGGCTGGTACGCTGTAACAATGGCAATATTAGAACGTGACAGAAATATATACCTTAGTGTTAGACATCGAGTATATAACCAGAAATAGAGATGAAATAAGGGCCATATATTCCTGGTAACACATTAGCGATATAGCTCTTATAAATATCAACTCTCGTTTGCACTGAAATATGGACAGGCCAACTACTGACCTGTGTGTACGTCTCCGTATATTCCAAAAAATATTCTGTATTTATTGTAATAAACATAATATCTCCAACAACGCCGTGCTGGGTGGGAAAAACAGCAAAATATCTAATTACAAAACAAACGGAATCACATTTCATCGGTAATTAAATATGTAATTTTGCAATTACGTCCATATTCCTGGCGCCAAGCAGTAATGTGAATATTACTGTGTTCCGGTTTCGAAAGGTAAGGGTGCTGGTGAAATTCCAGGTACATGGGACTTGTCAACTTATGTTTCAGGGTGTCGGGCGCAATAATAATAATAATATAATAATAATAATAATAATAATAACACACACACTCAACATAGCCCCGCACTAGGGAAACCCTGTGTCGCGGGTGCCATGGACACACATATAGACAAGCACAATTTACACCCAAACTCACGAGAGAAACAAATGTAGGTCATACAAATATTTCTCCCGGCCCGGGAATCGAACCTGGGACCTCTGCGTGGCAGTCCGGCAAGGTAACCGTTCGGCCACAGAGGCAGTTATATAGCATTTATATAATTATATAGCACAGCAATAGCTGTGCCCCTGAGATCTTTGCGATTTAAAACTCGTGAGTTGCACTGCAACTGTTATGGACAGGCGTATAGCTTACCGTCCCGTTACTTGGTATTAAAAAAAGTAAAAAAAAAAACAAATACACGCGACTTAAATCCGGAAAAATAGTTTCATTTCCTAAATTGTTTATATTTATTTGAAGATAACGTGAGGTAAACTTACCGATCGATGGCGTCGCGAGTGAAGCAAGTGTTGGCGACGAACACGAGCAAGTCGTTCTTGGAGAGCTTGTTGAAATAGCACGCGCATTGTCGGTACTGCTGCATCCACTTCTTGTTCGTCGCTGCCAAGTTCGGTACCTGCAGTTATTAAAACAATGATTGACAAACCAGAAACCTAGTGCATATATCGAGATATTTTGTATGCCCATAAAAATATACATAATTTCGTTAAGAAAGAAGATATTCATAATATTAGCCTTAGAGCTAAATCCAAACTCGTGGTCCCACGATTTCGTTTAACTAAGGTAAACGATTCTTTTATGGTTTTTACAATAAGATTCCGGAGATTTTTTTTTTATTCTTATGTAAGTGTATAATCAGGTGAGATGGAGGTCAAATCTCCATCTCACCTGATGGAAAGTGACGATGAGGTCGACGATGGAGCACGCACACCTAGACAATACCTATTCACTCTCGCCTTGAAAAGGTTCAAGTATAAATGAATTAATATATTAAGATTATCATTTTCTAAGTTTAAAACTTACATCAAAAGTATTTCAATTGAAAAGCCATATTACAAAATTGTGGACTACGTGTTAGATAAAGATGTAAGGAAAGACAACGTGAGTCTAGATTCCACACAATTATGATTCGAAGTGTATTCGATAGCATTTAAGTTTATTTGAAAAAAGCAATCCCTAGAGGTTCTTGCTCGTTCGTCTCAGTGAGGTCAACGTAGTGAGCGAGCAGTAGCTTAAAAAATGACGTTTTCAAGTGTAAACATTTTACCTATGGAATAAATTATTATTTGACTTTGACTTTGAGATTCTTTTACATTAATTAAGCTTATTGAACATTGACTTACAATTATATGGACGTCGGGTCCGCGCTAAAAAGTGTC